GCTCCCCCTTAATTATTAATATTCCAAACAGACAAATGGACCATATCTGATTGAATCTACCCACGAGGGTACAAGATAAATAATATTCTATGAAAATACACATGCTACCTAAGTGTATTTGAGTAGTAGATGGACAACAGAAAGCGATGGGAAAAAGAGAGCAAAGGCAGAAAACTGAGAAACCACGCACAGTATCCAATCTTTCCTTTACGCAAAGAGGAATAGGAAAGAGACAGGGAAAGAAGAAACGGCGAAAAATGGAAGCAGCGAATATAGTTGTGTGTCTTTGATACCTTGTTGTTTTGTGATCAAACCGAGTAAATAGAGGATCAGGTCGGCACCGCATATCTAAATAAATAAATCAATAATGTGAAGAAGAGGAGGAGGAGTTTAAGAGTTCCATAAATTAATCGATTCATGGGGAAAGGGAGGGAGAAGGAAAGAAAAATATCGATTAGTCGTCATCAGCGTTATAATCAATGATAACAGTAGTATATCACACTGTGTGTAGGCCAAAGTATGCGCGTAGTAGAGAGCGAGAGGCAGAGAATAAGAGAGTGAAATGAGAGGGAGGAAATGTGAAATGAGTACTGTTTTATTACGAGAGAAGAAATCCCCAAACGTCATCTGTCTTAATCCATGGGGAAAGTCATCGCTGACTGCGGAAGGGGTTCAATGACCTCAACATAATTCACAGGGAAGAATCCCACACGATTGTTGATGCGACCTTCGAACCAGTTCTCGTCCACTTGTCTGATGAGTTGAATTATGTCACATTCGTCAAACGGCAACTCCGAGTCATTCTCTGCATCGAATTTATAAAGCGCCCGGCAGCATGGTCCTGAAGCTAAATGGAAAAGACAGGAATGATTATTACTACCCATAAGAGTCCAGTTTAAGAAGAGACAGTTTCCCTTTCAATTTACCATAAGTAGGTGAAGTGGAACAAAGACAGAGGTAAGTGTGCAAATAAATTGGCAGTGCAAAGGTGGTGTTACAGTTACGAGACAGAGAACAAAGTCGCGCTTTATCCAAATTGATACAGACCGTTCATGAAGCGGAGTATCAATTTGTTAGACACAGTGGAGAGGAAAGACCGTTCAGAATATGAAAAGTATCCTATAAGAGCCCGTTTGTCCACTTGCAAGAACAAACTGACCAATAAACCACGTTGAAACAGTAGCTTTAAGCCACTGGCATGTAACGGTTGGCATACAGTCAAAAGGTAAAGTTCAAGTAATGTTTCATTTTTAAATGACGCAAGTGGTTCAGATTGCGAGTAAAAAAGTCACACGGTAACTTTCAAGCGGAAAACATGTTGATCAGAAGTTAATTAGATTATTTGTCAAAACGTCGTTTTGCACAAACATGCGAATACTTTGAAGGCGACGAAAAAAGGCTTTTGTGGATTAGGGATAAGCAAAGATAAAGAGAAAAAAACATTATGCAACCTTTTCTTGTAGGAGCTTATGCAGCAGCTAAAATGGTTCCGTGTGGATTTTGTTTTGCCAATAAACTACCAAGTGCATTGGTACAGAGAAAGTGTAAGGCGGCATGTGCCAGAAACCACACCAGCCAATAGGAGAGGTCTTACTGGTACAAAGACCAACATGAGTGTACAGTGGGCCAATGAGAAGCTAGTTTCACGAAGTATGCTTAATTACTGGAGACGAAAGTATTCATTGTGGCAAGACAGGTATTTCTTAAACTCCCTTCCCGACCTTCATAATTCTCAAGGCCCTTATGCTCTTCCACTTTAGCTTGTCTCGAAAAATAAACATTTTTTTCGTTTCACTTCCTACATGTTAATTCTGGCAAAAACCAAAAACAACATATGCAACTAGGACCGATTTACTAAGCAAATTAGACTATCGGGTTAGAAATGCTGCTTACGGAGACTACAAGTTTTTGCGTCTGTACAAGTAGTGGCAGTAACACGATTAAATCATATATTACAAAAAATAACCAGCATTATCTTGGGGTGGGGGGGGGATTACTTTCTGCTTTATTAAATAATGGGCACATTTTGCGAAATTCGAAACCAGGTAGAGAGGTTCGCGCCTCCCCTAGATGTACGCACCAAAATGTCCCGGGAGAACGGCACTCACAGACTGCTTGCAATCTCTCATTTCTAATGAGGGAAAAGAATAACCTGAAGTGCACGAGGAGGCGGGGGAGGGGGGGGGACAGAACCATGTCCGTGCCAACAGCACACAATTGCGAAAAAAGAGGTGTGCGACCAATTACGCTCCATATGGAACTGCAAGTACTAACATCAACTTTCTTATAGCTTGAAGTATTTTGATTGAAAGATTAATTGCTTAATCCTTATGCGCTACCTTAGTCCGTCACAAGCAACCAAAAAATTACTAAAGCATAAGAAAAAAAGAGAACACTATTAGAGGAACAATCTACGAGCTTAAATCAATATTAAAACCAATGAGTTAAACAAGTAGGCCAGCAATCCAACGGTCATTATAATAAACGCATTAGGGATAGTCAAAACGCAGGAAAGTTGGTACGCTCAATGCCGATATTTCAATATCTATTTACCAGTGATCTATTAATCCTCCCCCCCCCCCCATCCCACCAAACTAAAAGTGAAGATATTGTAGGGCATTATAGAAATTATAAACCTGTCATGTCCTCAAACTGGGGTGTGCAATAGACTTACCTCCATGTGGTGCACCCTGGGCAACGTATACTCATACGGCAAAAAAGTCTATCAATGGGCAGTTGACTTCTGACTTCAAACTGCCACCACCCCACTGTACGCCATATTCGACTACTTTCACAGTACTCACCTCACCTTTTTTCTACCTTTGTGTTTGTCTCTTACATCTTTGAAACACTCTTCTGTTCCCACCCCCCCATCTCGACTTTTTTTCCACTTTGATGTTCCTTCCCCTCTGTGAAGCCTGAAGTCAACTAAAGGGCTAATGATAACTATCAGAACGCCTGCCATTTATATAAATAAATGTCCTCAAACTATGCACAAATTATGATGTGTTGCAGTCAAAATGAATTATACTAAAAGTGTTAGGGAAAAGAATCCCGTCCAAACTCTATGACATGAGAGATTATCACCCCAAATCAGCAATCATCAGATAAAGTGGGAGAGGGGTTAGATAGAAGAATCACGATTTATTTGAAAAAAAACTAGTATAAAGTAAGAAAACATTCAGCTTAAATTAAACGAATTAATATTTCCCCACTGGCTAATGAGCACCGCGAGTTTGTTAGTCAGCTGATGTGTGCCCACGAAGGCACCATGCGAAGTGTTATCGGGTATAATATTTTTCTGCACCACATTACCTGCTCTATTAAAGGCTGAAAGGGCATTCCAGTTCACTGTCGATGCTAACAAAGGTAGAGATAGGGGGAGCAGCTTTAGTACTTGCAGTTACACTTTTCACCCAAATAAGTCCGCTCAACCAACCAGCAGTGGCAATGGCTTGAACAAATAGAAGAAAAGAGGTAGGGGGAGGGCTAGGAGGAAGGGGTATGATAGTGACCAATCAGAAAAAGAGCGAGCGGAATGAACTAAATCTATACACGTGTAAGTGGGAGTAAGCGAGCGGGCTCATGCTCAAATGATGGAGCATGAACCCAGAGAGAGGGGGAGAGAGAGGCATATTGCCTACCACGGCTACTTGGTAGCGGTCATAGGACGGTAGGCGTTGCCTACCTATACATACGCGTGCACTACCGCTACTAAGGTAAAAAGGTGAGAAAATGTTGATCTGTGATCATTAATGAGTAGTGGAATGCTAAAAAAACATTTTGGGGGTAAATTAGTTACATACCAATGAGAATACAGAAAATGCATAAGGTTCCTCCAGTGGGAAATAATGTGCAGATAAATGAGAATAAAAGCGTCCAGTTTTAGTCCAAGGCAAACACCCATTTAAGAAATATGAGAACACAGTTGTAGGGAAAGTGATATGAAGTGATCTGTAAAAGAACTTCTCCAATTCAAAGAATGACTACCAACTACCCACTCACCAATATAAGCACAAGATAGGGTTGAAGAGAAGTCGAATACACCAAGGGAAATCTGATAAGTCGATGGCACACAACAAAAATAACGAGTTCGTCAAGAAAGTCGGGGGCAATAAAATAAGGGAGAGAAAAACAAAATTATGCCATGTCTAACACAAAATTAATGCAAATATAGGCTTCAATCAAATTGAGATGCCAGGCAAGGCAATCTCTGGCTTACTCCATTAAGAGAATCAAAAAAAAAATATGCAATGAAGATACAGAGAGAAAGATTGATCACTCCAAAAAATACTTACCAAATCACATCTTATATTTTTCGACTGCCACATTCTTTTGTGCCTTTTAAAAGTCCCAGTCCCACTGGATTTATGTGCAGATTGTTATATATTAACGAATTAAATCAATCTAATAAATAAAAACTGTAAAGACGTGAGTTTTGTGACTAGACAGAGAAAAAAATTAAACCCCGTAGAGCTGCGAAAATCGGTGCAAAGTAGAACCAAAAATTGCCAAATTAGCTGAGTTCACGACCAGAAGATAAGATCAATCTCAAATACACGAAGATGGACGATTAGAATTAGTATCAAAGTAAGTGACCAAGAGGGATAACCAGTTGAGTGGGACCTGGTTAAAACAGTATTCAGAGGCTACGGAGGCTACTTGGAAAACGCAATATTAGATTTTATATTCATTTTGTGCACAATACTCGATTACGCGCCATTGAAATGTACAATGGTAGCTCAACAAAAAAACACTACGAATACCCGTTAATGGAGACTACCAAGAAAGTTTGGCGGCTGTGTGTGCGTGTGTTTGTGTGAACTAATAGTGCTTTTCAAGCAACGTACTTTGAGCAGATTTTAGCAAAAAAAAGCAAGAAGGGGAGGGGGGAAGGTGTGAAAGGAAAGGGAGTCAAGATAGCTCTCTCCTCAAATATCCCCCAGTAGTACATTTTCCCTTGAAAAGAAGATTACTAACAGGCAGTTAAAATACAGGCGTGAGAAATGAAGGAGAAATGATATATGAAACCATTAGCTAAATTCAGAATCAACTGATGCAAAAGGGAATAATGTTACAGAGGAACATGCCAAAGAGCAAAAGGCTTAAAAGGAAAGCTGCACACATATACACAAGTGGATTATTCTCGCTTTCAAACTCTAAGAAAACAAAGTTCAACAAAGGCTTCCTTGCTAAGATACATTCATCATCTGACTGTGGGGAAATAATGAGACGGAAATAGTGAATGGAACAGCTGATCCAAAAGCCTATGTATTTAACGATTTCACCTCTATTGGCATTAGATCTATTAATAGCACTAGAGATCACATTGAGGGAAATAAAGTGAACTCTATCATGCGGTTGGAGAAAATAAAAGAGGTCCCAAATGAATACATAAAGGTAAGTTTACATTTTCTTTTATTTAAAAGTAGAAGATGAGGAATATAATGTGACCCCCGCGTAATCACCCACTATCATTTTTAGGATGGCACATGATACGTGACCTCTTTAGAATGAGCTGCACTGTGTTAACATCATGTAAGATAATTCAATCTTAGAAGAAAACGAAGTTGAAGTGATAAGATTAACCAACCTAGTTAATCAGTCATTGGAGATATAATAGAATTCGATTTCAAAAAGGTAATGCTGCCTAAGCCAAAACCCATGGCGTAGATGTCAACATCCCCTTATTGCCGAGCGATTTCAGTAGCTTGAACAAGATATCAATTCAAGATAATATAACATAAATAAAAAGTGGAAGAGCGAAAATAATAATATTTGCAACGCCCCCCCCCCACCCGAATGGTGTCCAAAATTAATTCGAGCCAAAGGTAATATTGAAGCTGAACAGCATCCTTCAGACCCTGGGAGCGAAATATTGGAA